GGATTCCAACTGCCTAGCTTCTGGTTAGCAGCCAAACTCTTTAACCACTGTGCCACCAGGGCTCCATATGATTCATAATACTCCTCTGCAATTTGCTTTTCTCTTTATCTTAATGATATATCATGAACATCCCTCCAGGCCACTATATGGAGATTTCATTTTTCATTTAACTTATTCTTAGATGCTGCCAAAAAAAATCCCTGCACGTCTATCCTTTGGTTCTGATGCCTTTATTTTTGTAAGACAGACTCCTAAAGGTGGAACTGCTGAGTCAAATCATTATTATATTTAAAAATAATAAAATTGTGACGTTCTTAACTTCTTTGCACAAAGACCGTCCTATTCCATTTGCCCTAGGGAAGAAGACTGGACTAACCACATCATTCTCCTTAGAGCAAAGAGCTGAAAGGGGAACGGGAAATGCACGTTTACTGTGCTTTTACTATGTGCTGACTGCAGTCACACACACAAGCGGTTTGAGCAAGTGTCTCCTCTTGGCCCACAGGCCAGAGTTAGAGAAGAGAAAGGGGACTGCCTGGCTTCCTGTGCCACAAAATAAATAATTACATATATACACACGTGTGTGTCACAATTATTTAAAAAGGTAACATGTATACATAGTATAAATTCAAAAGTAAAAAAACGGATATACACTATAAAGTTGAGTATCCCTCCCACTCCCGTCTCCCACTTATCCAGGTGCCTTCCCTACAGGCCACCAAACCAAAAACCAAACCTGCTGCCGTCGATTCCAACTCACAGCAACCCTGGAGGACAGAGTAGAACTGCCCCACAGGGCTTCCAAGGCTGTCATCTTTACGGAAGCAGACTGCCGCAGCTTTCTCCCATGGAGCCGCTGGTGGGTTCGAACCACTGACCTTCCAGTTAGAAGCTGAGCACTTAACCACTGCACCACCAGGGCTCCCCCAAAGGCCACGGATACTATGATATTCTCTTATCTGTCTTTCTGTAAGTACACACGTTTCAAGCATCTGTCTGTGTGTTACCAGCTTTTAAGTAATGCACATAATTCTGCAGCTTTCTTTGTTTTTTATAATCAATAGATCATCTTGGGAAGTACTTCCTATCAGTGTATCGTTTTCTGTCACGTGCATGGGCCATGACAGACAACTCACTCCTGAGGCCCCTGAAGCTGTTCCAATCCTTTTCTATTACACCCACGTTGTAAGAACTCCTTGTACACGTGCTGTTCTGCAAGTGTGAGCTGTAGGGCACATTCACACAGATGGAAACACTAGGTCAAGGGGACATGCATGCAAAATGCTCACAGCTACTGCAGATTCCATTCCCAAAGGATGGGGCAGCGTCCAGCCCACCATCCATGCACGTGCACTCTCCTCTCCCTCAGGCTTGTCGGTGAGGACTGTACCGATCATTTAGGCCCATCAGGAGGTAAGCCAATGCCTCATTTTGCCTCCTCATGCCTGTCCCTGGCTGCTGGTGAGAAAGACTTGCTGGTCACTTGCTTTTCCTCTTCTGTTCAGCTTCGACCACTTTTTCTAACGGGTTGCTGGTCTTTTACTCATTAATCTAAAAAAGGCTTTAACGTTAGGGATATTAATCCTTTATCAAATGTGTTGCAAATTATTTTTCCCACTCTCAAGCATTATGTTTTGGGAGAAATACACTTTGGCCTAACTATCTTATCTCAATGTTCACTTCAGAAATGTTTAAAAAAAAAAAAAAGTCACAGCAATTCAGGGCCTCGGAAGCAAGAGGGCCTAAGAAAGGAAGGTAAGAAAAGCCTGTGTCAAGTGCAGGAGCTCAGCCCCTAACACTGTATGTAGCACCGTCAGAGGAATCCAGCTCCTCACCAGGAGTGCCCTCTAGCGGAACACAACCTCAACTTCATGTTCTCAGACCACACTGAAAATTGATCGTTTCAACAACAGGAGATTTTACAGGAAAGGAACTTTGGGTTTCTGTTACATACATGCACGGGCCACAGTTTTTCAGACAACTCACTCCTGAAGGCCCCCGAAGCTGTTCCAATCCTTTTCTATTACACCAACACCGCAGGAAACAGCCTGTACACGTACTAGTCTGCAAGTGCAGGTTGCTGGGTATATTCAAACAGACGGAAATGCTATCTGTCAGCGGACTATTATTCAGTCATTAAAAATAATGTTTAAAATAATTCAAAGACATACAAAAATGCTCACGTTGTAAGTAAAAAAGTGAGAAAAGAACTATTTATGTACAATTCTCAACTATGTTAAAAATTATATACAGATAGCCAAAAACATAAAGTCCAAAGACAAATGGCAAACTGAAAAAAAAAAAAAAACAACTCAAATCATTGACAAAGAGCTGTTACTTAATTGATAAAGAATGTCTACAAATCAATAAGAAAAAGACCAATGACCCAAGAGAAAGGACAAGAGCTTTCAATTCACAGGAAAAAACTGGTTCTCAAATCTTAGAAAAGATGTACAACTTCACACGATACATACCTGCACATTCACAAAACGAACATGATGAAAAGGTATTCAGTGTCTCTAATAGCAAAAGATGGAAACAACCGAAGTGCCCATCAACAGGCGCTTGGCTGAATACACTGTGACTTACTCGTGTAGGGGAATACTGTAGCCAATAAAAAGGTTGAGGCAGCTTCATATGCAGAGTATTTCCAAAATAAGCTGAGAAGAGGAAACAACAAAAATCCAAGGTACAAGACAATCTTAACTGTACCTTTGGAACTGAAAGGTGCTGCACACACCTGTGCACACATCATCCTGCGTCTAGAGGAACACCCGAGAGACCACCACTAGAGGCTGCCTCTGGGGACTGAAATCAATGACTTGACTACAAGTCCCAGTGGGAGACACACTTATTTTATACTGTTTACAACTGTGAACCCGTTAAATTTTCAGTGATGTGTGTATATCACCTATTCAAAGAATAGTTGATATTAAAAAAAAAGAAAGACAACTAAACAACTTGCAGGGAACACACTACAATTCTTTATAAATTAGGTTAGCCCCTGTCAAAAAGCGGCATTATCAAGGACTTTCGTTTCCTTTCTTTACGCTCTTCTGCGCTCAAAAACAACTTCTTCCCCCTGCTACACACACACACACGCACCACGGACAATGAAATGATTTTACAGGTGGGTGGGGGAGGGGTTCCCTCCTCCCTTAAAAAGGAAACCATCTAAGTGGAACACAAATACAATCAAATAAAACCTAACCGTATTTCTAATAAATAATTACAGTGAAGGGGGAAAGGAGAACTGACCCAAGGAACTTTTGAACACGGTATTTTGACTATATACCCTCAATGCAAAGATAAAAAGGACTCTAAATGAATAGTGAATGCAGGAAGGTAGGATTGTTTTTGCAATGGTAGGACTTAACTCTGAAAGTACTCTTTGTGTGTTCTAGGATTGAGCAAATGAGTAAATACACTGAGGGTAATCAGAGCCAGATTTTTTTTAGAGAAAAAAGTTATAAACATGGACGGACAGGCAGAAGACTAGAATGAACCTAGTGGAGTTAGACTGGAATTAGAAGTATCAGGTTGAACTCATGGTTTGGTGTACTTATGGATGTATGCATATGTATGTATGTTTGTATATACATGTAAGAAGATACCTATAGACAGAGAAATAGAAATCTATATGTGTATCTATACATTATGTGTATGTACACACGTGTACACACACACATGCTATATTTCCTGGCTTGGTCTGGTGAGAGGGCTTAGAAGCTATGGCACTCCTGTAGCAATGAGCACACCTAGAGCACAGATCTTGGTTTCTAAATACCACTCGACACTAATAGGAACCAGGACTCCTTGGAGAAATGACTGATTCTGGGGCTGGGGTGGGGGAAGTACAAGTTGAGCCTAGATCATCCTTTTAGATAGAAAATAAGGAAGTCCTGAAAAAATGATAGAGACGTCAGAAAAACACAGGAGCCAGTTTGAAAGGACATCCACTGGCCAAATCAGGGACAATTTGAGCATCAAAGTAAGTAACAATACTGATTATAACCCAGCGAAGAAAATAAGAATCCATGAGTTCATACTGATATAAATAAATGAACAAATGAATGAAGAAGGGAAGGTTCTTCCTTTCAGCTGAATGCCAACTAATAAATGTAGAAAGGATATTAGAAAAACCACCATTTTGCAACCATCACAGTAATTGATTTAAGCAAGAATGATCAATGGATGTTAAAACTAATGGGTAAAAGTCTGATGAGGAAAAGAGTATTTACATAGTGTCAAGGTATCTCCCAATAACTCACTCACTAATTTCAAAGAGAAAAATCCTAACCTTATAGTGAAAAAGCCTAGTGGACACCACTTTAATCAAATGATTATGATCAAGTTCAACATCACCAATAATGGAACAAACTGACATCTGTGACTTCTAATATGATGCACTGAAAAGGATAAAACATCACTTCTGTGGTATTTCTGCCAAAAATGCATAATCTGAATCTTATGAGAAGAAAATGTAAGATAAACTCAAATTGAAGGACATTCTATAACTAGTCTGTAATCTTCAAAAATATCACCGTCATAAAAGAAAAAGGAAGGCTAAGAAACAGTTCCAGATTAAAAGAGACTAAATAAAAAAAAACCAAACCCAAATCGATTTGATTCTGATTCATAGTGACCCTACAGGACACAGCAGAACTGTCCCACAGGGTTTCCAAGGAGCGGCTGGTGGATTTGAACTGCCCCAGACTAAAGACATGACAACCAAATGCAGTGGGTGATCCTGGATTGGATTCTGGACCAGGGAATAAATAGCTGTGAAGGACATTATAAGGACAATTAAAGAATTTTTAATATAGACAGATAATGGTATTATACCCACTATTGTTGCTGTTGTTAGGTGCTGTCGAGTCCGTTCCAACTCATAGCAACCCGATGTACCCACTAGTTCTTAGAAAATATACACTGAAGTATTTAGAAATAAAACCAAAAACATAAACCAGCTGCTGTTGAGTTGATTTGACCCATGTGTGTCAGAGCAGAACTGTGCTCTCCAGGGTCTTCAATGGTTGATTTTTCTAAAGTAGATCGCCAAGGAAATGAGCCAACCAGAAACAACAAAGCAAATGGAACAAAATGTTAAGGACTGGTGAGTCTGGGTAAAAGATATAAGGGAGTTCTTTATACTACTCTACAAATTTGAATTCTATCAAAATAAAAAATCACCAGAAAGAAAAAGGAGATTAGACTTAAAGCAAAATTTAAGTCTTCACCCTGCCTTCAAATTACCAAATTATCCCAAAGTGTATTTTCAGAGAAGACAGGACAGTTTCCCTGCTCCATCTACACTGTCTACCTACTAAGACAGAGCTCTCCTGAAAAATACAGAAGGTTCTGTATAAAATAGTTATGAACTCTCAAAGCCGTAGGAACCTGGTGAATAAATACCCATGGGACTGAGAAGAAAGGAGAGGTGGGAGGAGGTGGGGTGCCCAGCCCCCTTACCATCCCAGAGCCGCCGCAGTAGTGGCAGTGCTGTGCCTTGGTGCCAGGCTCGTTCCCTTTGCCGTCACACCGCTCGCAGGTGTCGGTGATGTTCACGGTGAACTCCTTGTTGACCCCCTTGGCAGCTTGATTGAATGTCAAGTCCATGATGTACTACAGAAACCAAGGGGCAGGTCTGTCAGCTTCCTTTTTACAACGACCAAGGTGATGCTCAGTGGGTGGGGCTCACTTCACAGATGAGGACCTGCTCCTCAGGGTTTATACGAGATTGTGCAGGTTTCAATTTAAGTGAAGATACACTTTTCAATAACTGGGAAATATTCACAGTCTTCAATGATCCACAATGATGACTTAAGTCATAAAAAAATCTCTCCTCTCTCTTCAGCTCCACTAACGTCTTATGACGGACATAGGTTCGGAAGGGGTAGGGTCAACAGCTGTCGCCCTATTGACCTGGGTGTTCCAAGAATCATGTAGCAGGCTCTGGTTAAAATACTTACCTCTCAGTGTGAACTCTGAATGCCTTAGGTACTGCCTGGTGAACCAACTGTAAGAATATAGTCAAGACGGAGGTATTCACTATTACCTACAGGATTTTTCAACTACTGGAATTATTTTCCACCAAAGTGGCTGTCTCCAGCCCATTTCATCTTAGCTGGTTTGACATTTCCTTTGAGAAGCAGAAACTGATAAAATTTCTGATTTCATCAAACTTAGCCTAAAATTCAAATGACTCTTCAGAATGAGGCACTTACCTCCTGAGGCGGATCAAATACACTCTGGAAATCTCCAAATGATGATGATGATGAGAACTCCCCAAAGATCTTCCTGAATAGCTCCTCGGGGTCGACAGTGGGGCCTCCCCTCCAATAGCTGTGCCCGGAGCTGCTGGCCCCAGCGTCAAAGCCAGCTGAGCCGTAGGCATCATACTGCTTTCTCTTCACTTCATCGCTCAGCACCTACCAGAAGAAAGGCAGGACAATCACACGCCTCTGCTTCTCCCGAGGCGCAGGAATACAGAAAAGGTCACACTAAGCCAACCAGCCGCAACACTGCCACTGTGCACAAAACGATGACACGAACTTCTCGGAGATGGAGTGGGACTGGGACTTTAGCACCTAGAAAAGGACAGATGACTACGTGGAAATCTAAACGTGGGACCTGGAGTACTTTTACAAGTTTAATGGAAGCTGCCGGGGGCTGCCTTCGATGTGAAAATGTTTACACGTGTGAGTCCCTGGACTCTTCCTGGATTCCCTCGTCCACTCTCCCCAGGAGATGCTGCCTGGCAACGACCTACGCTCAGAACCTTTACCCTGCAATGACCAGTCTCCTGGAGGTCGGACAAAAGGAGCAGCAGGTAGAAGTGACCATGGTACCAGGCAAACGTTTGGTAGACTGTACTCACTCATACAGACACATGCAGGCATCTGCACAAAACTGTTCAGAGGAATTACCTTGGGAAGGGGTCTAAGGAGAGAGAGGAGAGAAGCATACTTTTCCCTCTTATCTCTTTCATCTGTTTGCTTTCCTTTTTTTTTCCTAACTAAAAAGAAAATGCAGGCACAAGGAAGGGATAGTTTCTAGAGACACACTGTCAGAAGATGGAGGAGAAGCGACAGACAGACACCAGTATTGACAGAACAGAGGAAGGTAGCAGCCACACGGGTGAGAACCTGGCATGGAGTCCGCTCTGACCAGAAACTGAAAAGGGCCCTGTCCTGGGGTCAAACAGAAAAGAGCATTCCTCCCCACAAAGAACAGGATAAAGGCAGTTCCGCCTAGAATCAGAGGGAGAAACTCAGCAGACCAGCCTGAGAACAGCTTGGCGCCTAGGGTACTTTTTAGGGTGCCTAAGAGGAAAAGAAAGCAGTGGAAAGAGAAAGAAGCAGCAGACACGAGAGAAGGGTAAAAGGCAGAAGGCCTTGGGTTCCTGGGGGCTTTTGCTTCCTGGTTCCAACTCCTTACCACTCTTGGATTCCCCTCTCCTTCTCATCGTTCACCCCGTCTTTAAAAAATCAATCTTATCATCCACAGAAACAGGTTCTAGGAATCTTTAGCGTATTATCTACTAGTTTGAGTTACTGTAATAAAACTGTATTATTTATTATTATTATCAAACACACCTTCTATTAGATGTAGTTGGCAGGGAAAAAGACACATGAATTTAATATTCACTCAGTTGAGGCTGTTCTTATATGTGGCTATGGATATATCATATTCTATATTTCCTAAACCCCTGCCAAGATGGTAAAGGTCTGGGAAGAAAGTCCACTTACAAAGACTTCCAGAATTGATCAGTAGTTATTTCACGGACACATGCTTTCTCTCTCTGATTACATTTTACACTCTCCTGGTCTCCTCCTTTTGTAATATCCACCATTGCTAACAGACGGCAGCAGTTCATAAGCAATGAATTAATTCATCCACAGAGGGGAAGTGCTGGGTCCTTACACCAGTAGTCCCAAACCGGCCACGAATGGAACTACCTGGGGAGCTCTGCTAATCCAGAATACTGCATCCTGTTTGTTGAGATTCCAAATTAGTGGTCCTGGCGATCTTTCTATTTTTATTTTTCGGCTGTAGGGGACACAGGCATGACCTGGGCCTTTCCGCATGCCAGGCCGCCCTGTCTGCTGCCCAGTGAACGCTGACTTGCGCACACAAACCAATGGCAGTAATTGCCCACATGCCAGTCACGTTACCTCGTAGGCTTCTGCCAGCTGGGAGAACTTCTCCTTGGCTTTGGGATCATCCTTATTTGTGTCTGGGTGATACTTCTTGGCAAGCTAAGGGAAGAAAATGGTAAATGATCATGGGCACAGGAGAACGACCACAACGGGCCCCAGTGTCAGCTACAATTCCTCCTCTTTAGTAGCAGTTGTCTCTTAAGTTAGCAACAACACCAATTCTTAAAACCAGATTTTAGACTTTTAATAGTCTCTTCAAATCTGAGGTGTGTACACACTGAACCACAACAAATCTCCACCAAACATAACAACTAATTCTTTAGAACTTGGGCATCATCTTTGTAAAAGCAGGGTGCAAAACAGTGTGTCTGACAGGCGATCACTTATGCAAAAAGGAGAGAGAATGACTAGATAAACAGATGTATCTGTTGTATAAATTATATTCCAAGGAATACACAATAAAATGATAACACTGCTGCTATCGGAGGGATGCAGAGGAAGGGGAAGAGGAAGAACTTTTTACTATATATTCCTTTGTACGTTTTGAATTTTGAACAAAATGAATGTATGTATTTCCTATTCAAAAACCAGGTTTATTGATGGTTATGATGGAGGGGAAGGGTAGGGAGGGAAAAACACTAACTAGACAATAGATAAGTGGTAACTTTGGTGAAGGGTAAGACAGTACACAATACTGGAGAAGTCAGCACAACTTGACCAAGGCAAAGTTGTAGAAGCTTCATAGACACATCCAAACTCCCTGAGGGACCGAGTTACTGGGCTGAGGGCTGGGGACTATGATCTAGGGTGACATTTAGCTCAACTGGCGTAACACAGTTTATAAAGAAAAAGTTCTATATCCTACTTTGGTGAGTAGCATCTAGGGTCTTAGAAGCTTGTGAGCAGCCATCTAAGGTACTCCACTGGTCCCACCCCACCTGGAGCAAGGGAGAATGAAGAAAACCAAAGACATAAGGGAAAGATTAGTCCAAAGGGGTAATGGACCACAACTACCACAGCCTCCACCACGCTGACTCCAGCACAACTAGATGGTGCCCGGCTACCACCACTGACTATTCTGACAGGGATCACAATAGAGGGTCCTGGACAGACCTGGGGAAAAATGTAGAACAAAATTCGAACTCACAAAAAAAGACCAGACTTATTGGTCTAACAGACTGGAGAAACCCCAAGAGCATGGCCCCTGGACACCCTTTTAACTCAGTATTAAAGTCATTCCTGAAGTTCACCCTTCAGCCAAAGATTGTTATTGTTGTTGTTGGGTGCCACTGAATCAGTTCCAACTCACAGCAACCCTGCAGGACAGAGCAGAACTGCCCCATAGGGTTTCCAAGGAGCAGCGGGTAGATTTGAACGGCTGACCTTTTGGTTAACAGTCAAGCTCTTAACCACTACGCCACCAGGGCTCCTCAGCCAAAGTTTAGACAGGCCTACAAAACAATAACACATGTAGTTCAACTATGTATACAAGACTAAATGCACACACCAGCCCAAAAGCAAAGATGAGAAGGCAGGAAGGGACAGGAAAACTGGACGAATGGAAAGAGGGAACCCAAGGTCAAGAAGGGCAGAGTGTTGACACATTGCAGGGATGGCAACCAATGTCACAAAACAATCTGTGTATTAATTGTTTAGTAAGAAACTAATTTGCTCTGTAAATGTTCACCTAAAGCACACGCGTACATATACAAAATAAAAATAAAAAAGGCTTAAATATTTAAAAACAAAACTCTCAGTTGGCTGTCAAGGAAACACGTGTGATGAACAGTTCTAAAGAAGGGTAGTTAATGTGTAGCTGCTGGGCGGGCAAGGAGGTTCACAGAATCCTGAAGCTGAGAGACTCAAGAAGCCCACTGGCTCCACCCCTTCCAGCAACTGGGTCTCCAACTGTCACTACAGTTGAGCTCCAGGGAGTTAAAAGCACAGCTGCTGGGGTCAGATGGCTCAGACCTACCATTTGCAGGCTGGGAGGGCCCTGGGCATATTACCAAACATCTCAGCTACAGTTTCCTCATCTGTAAAATGACAATAACAATGGCACCTACTTCACAGGGTTGTGACAATAAAATAACAAAGATAAGGAATTTAGCACAAGGCGTGGCACGCACTAACACGTCAGCGATTATTAGGACATAATCAAGAGTTTAAGGACAAAGTCCAGATGAGGCATCTAGAAGTTCTAATAAGAATTTAGAACTTCAACGATGATCCCAAAAGTACTGATATCAGTATACTCTGAACCCCCAAGACGACCACTTCACAACGCAGCACTGCAGCCCACGTGAGAGCTTGCATTTTTGTCTACATTGTGTTGCTCCGTTGTACCACGGGGTCCCTGGCACCACCTGGTAGTATCACCAGCAGTAGTACTACCAGGTAGTGCCAATAGTACCACAGTACCGCCTGGTGTCCTTATGTGAAAAGAACGAAGGGAGTTGTGCCAAGTAAAGACAAAATGATGTTGTATCTCATGATGCAAATTAAGAACTCAGAGGAATTCAAATTCAAAAAGTTCCGGAGAACTGAGACAAGCAGGCTGTATGGGTGGGGCCGACTCCAAAAACCCGGGGCTGGAGACACCTATACAGTACCCTCGGCATAAGAAGCAACCTGATTTTAGGCAGATGACATTATCTACCACATGGAATTACTGTTGTTCAAAGGGCATCAGTACATTATCCAAGTTGAGCAACAGTGCAGGATTATTTCCAGTGACAGGGAACTCACTGCCACCCAATGCGGAGTGTACCCTGACCAGCAGCTCCCACTGTTACAAAGTTCTTCCTTAGAGGGAGCTTAACCTTCTCTTGTGTCACATATATACCTTTAATCCCTCTTCCACAAAATGGCCTAGCAAACAATTGAGACAAGATAAAACCCAGCATTGAATCCGACTCAGTGACCCTACAGGACAGAGAACTGCCCCCCAGGGTGTCCACGGCTATGACCTTTACGGAAGCACACTGCCACATCTTTCTGCCATGGAGCAGCCAGTGGTTTCAAACTGCTGACCTTTTGCTTAGCAGCCAAGCACTTAACCACTGCACCTCCAGGGCTCCTTGACAGAAGATAGCATGACTCTCTAAGTCTCTTCTTTATGTTCAGAGTCAAGACCCACAGCTAACTCTCAATCTTCCTCACCAGGAAAAAAGAAAGCGCTACAAGGCGCTAGTCCTGTGGAAAACAAACTTGTTCACGTGTCACCCAGCTTTGGTTTCCAGGAGGAATGAGGATGCTGAGAGACGTTGCCAGAAACACACGCCCACACCCCAAAGTCAGGGCAACAGAGACAAAAGTGGCTGCAGTAGAGCAGAGAGACGGGGGACCTCATACCAAGAACGCAGTGCCAGGAGCAGAGCGTGTCCTTTGGGCCCAGGGTCCCTGTGCAGAGAAGAGCCTAGTCCGGGGGAACACTAATGAGAAAGCCGACAGAGAGAGAAAGCCTTCCCCTGGAGCTGACACCCTGAATTTTGACTTTTAGCCTACTTTACTGTGAAGAAATAAATTTCTCTGTTTAAAAAAAAAAAAAAGTGGCTGCAGTAGCAGCTCTAGCATTCAAAGTAAAACAGCCATGGGTGGAAAAGGCCGGAGGGGCACAGCTCCACCAGTACCCCCAAACTCAGCCTGCCCTGAAATGCTCTTCCTCACCCAGGCCACAGGCTGTGTGCTGAGCCCCAAGGGCAGGTGTGGCTGACAGATCACCACAGGCTGGTAGGCTCCAACATCATGTGATCTACCAGGTGGTCCCAAACATTACAGCAAAAGATGCTGGCGTGTTCATGAGATCAGTGCATGGAAAAGGAACTCTGCAGCCAGAAAGACCTGTATTTTAGGCTCCTGGCCGCCACATGTTGGCATAGTGGTATGTCATAACCTCTCTAAGCCTCGGTTTCTTCGTCAACAAAACAGGGATGTTAACAGCTACCCATGAAGCTGCTACGAAGATAAAATGACATGATGCACATACAGCTTGTATCAGCGTCTAACAAGTGACTGGTCAATAAAGGCTATTTACAAAATTTCAGGTTTTAAATTGCACAACTTTACCTGGTCTTCTTACTTCCATGCCTAAAAATCTGAACAGTTCCCTACTGTCTCTTATATTAGGTCCTGAGTACTTGCCATGGCCCTCAACTGTCGCGATAATTTGGCCCTAACCTCCACCTGTTCAATCCTCTCCCAACCTTGCATCAGGTACCCCACTCTCCTGCTCAAAAACAGAGACATGCTATTCCCAAGCCAGATCTCCGCTTCCTATCCCATATCTTTGTTCACTCCATTCCACACACCTATAAAAAAATAAATAACCCAACTGAAAAATGGACAAAGGATCTAAGCAGACATTTTTCCAAAGAAGGTATGTTGTTGTTGTTGCTAGGTGCCGTTGAGTCAGTTCCGACTCATAGCGACCCTGTGTACAGCAGAACGAAACACCGCCCGGTCCAAAGAAGGTATACAAGTGTGTAATAAGCACATGAAAAGATGCTCAACGTCACTGGCCACCAGGGAAAAGCAAATCAAAACCACAATGAGATTACTACTCCATACCCAATAGAATGGCTAAAATAAAAAAAGATAACAATAGGTGTTGACAAAAATGAGGAGAAATTGGAACCCTCGTACACTGCCTGTGGAAATGTAAAATTTGCAGTGGCTTTGAAAACCAGTCTTGCAGTTACTCAAAAAGTGAAACATAGTTACCATGCGGTTGTTATTGCTGTTGTGTGCCAGGTCGATTCAGACTCATAGCGACCCTATAGGACACAGTAGAACTACCCCCTAGGGTTTCCAAGGACAAGCTGGTGGATTCAATCTGCTGACCTTCTGGTTAGCAGCCTGAGCTCTTAACCACCTCGTCACCAGGGCTCCATAGTTACCATATATGATCCAGCAATTCTACTCCTAAGTATATACCCAAGAGAAATGAAAACATATGTGTCCACACAAAAACCTGTATGCAAATGTTCACAGTAGCATTATTCATAATAGCCAAAAAGTAGAAATAACACAAATGTCCTTCAACGAATAAATGGATAAATAGAATGCAGTATATACACATACAATGGAACATTATTTGACCATAAAAAGGAATAAACGTTACACACTACAGCATGGATGACTTTTTTTTTTTGTTAAGCCACAATTAAATTTTGGTCACTCTGTCACAGCAGTTTACCTAAATTTTTTTTTTTTTTAATTGTGCTTTAGGTGGAAGTCTACAGCTCAAGTTAATTTCTCATACAAAAATTTATACACATATTGTTACATGACATTAGTTGCAATCCCTATAACGTGACAGCACACTCCCCCTTTCCACCCCGGGTTCCCTGTGCCCATTCAACCAGTTCCTGTCCCTTCCTGCCTTCTCATCCTGCCTCCAGACAGGAGCCACCCACTTGGTCTCGTGTATCTGACTGAACTAAGAAGCACACTCTTTACGACTGTTATGTTTTATAGTCCCGTCTAATCTTTGCCTGAAGAGTGGCTTTAGTTCTGGGTTAACAAAGCGTCTGGGGGCCATGGCTTTGGGGGTTCCTCCAGTCTCAGTCAGACCATTAAGTCTGGTGTTTTTAGCATGGATGGCTCTTGCAAACAACATACTGGGTGAAAGAAGACAATCATAAAAGTGCACATATTAGATGACTGCACTTACATGAAATGTCCAGAATAGGCAAATCCACAGAGACAGAAAGTAGATTAGTGGTTGCCTGGGGTGGGGAGGGGAAGGAACAGTGACTGCTAACAGTTATGGGGTTGTTCTGGGGTGATGAAAATATTCTAAAATTGATTGTGGTGTGAGGGGTGTACAACTCCTGAATATACTAAAAACCAGTGACGTGTACACTTTAAAAAAAGGTAAAAGGAGGGAGTAGCCACCTGTCTTTGTTACCTAGTGCTGCTGTTTAACAGAAATACTGCAGGTGGGTGGCTTTAACAAACAGAAATTTATTCTCTCACAGTTTAGGAGACTAGCAATCCAAATTCAGAGGAAGACTCTGGGCGAACATCCCTGTTCCTTGGTTCCTGGGAGATCTTCGTGTGGTATGGCATCTATCTTCCCCATCTCTGCTCCCTTGCTTAATCTTCTCCTCTTATATCTCAAAAGAGATCAACTCAAGTCAAGTCCTACATGAATACTGTCTGATTAACATAACAAAGAAAACCCATTCCCAAATGGGATTATAACCACAGGTATGTGTTGCTGTTGCTATGTTGTTAGGTGCTGTACAGTTGGTTCCAACTCATAGCAACCCTATAGGACGGAGTAGAACTGCCCCAGAAGGTTTCCAAGGAGCAACTGGTGGATTTGAACTGCCGACCTTATGGTTAGCAGCTGAACTCTTAACCACTACACCACCAGGGCTCCAACCACAGGTATAGGGGTTAGAATTTACAACACATATTTTTGGGGGACACAATTCAATTCATAACACCACCCAAGTCATAAGCTATTAGGTCTGGTCTCAATCAGTATTTGGGACACTGGGCTAGGACAAAGTTTCTGCTCACCCACCAAAAAACGAAAGAAAATGAAGAATCTTGTTGTAAGTTTTTCAAAATCAGTTTAATTTCAAGATCTCTTCTTTATTCTGATATTATAGCCTTCCTATTTTTATGGTGATAAGATGCCCTTTCTTTCATGAAATGACGTTACTAGATCATACTTGTTACTTTTAATGTCTACATTAGGCCAAATACAAAGGTCAGCAATCTTACATCAATGGTCCCAATTTTGATTTTATTGGTTAGAGCAAACCAAAAGTCTAGGAACCACTGGTCCAGGTAACTCACCATTCTGATTAGCCCTAAGACGTTTTGGGATACAATGATGGGAATCTCATAGTTTACTGGTTAAGAAAAACAATAATTCTAAATCTATAAACTTAACCTAATGCAACGACTAACTACTTAAAACTTAGACCAGCATACCTACTGATTCAAAAGGCACAGAATAAAATCAATTACAAAAAACAGCTCTGGAGAAAAAAATTTTTAATCTCTGCCTCTCCTCTTTCCTGAAGCATTAACAATCACAGCATCACCCACTGAGGAATACCATCCAGCAAAGGCCATCTTTATGGTATCGTTCCATACGTGAGCTGCATGGTGCTTCCGTGGATAGGCACACGCACTGTACTGATCAGAACCAGACCGGACCCACAGCATTCACTCTACAATCTTGTCTCTGAAAGCTGACTTCCATACAGACCTGGTAATAGGCTTTCTTGATCTCTTTCTGGCTGGCATTTCGGGGCACTCCCAATATCTGGTAATAATCCTCTTTGGCCAAAGGGCTGCTCGTGTGGAAGGAGGCAGTACAAACAAAAGGGTAACTGTTTACTCCTAGAAAGGAAAAAAAAACAAAACAAAGAAAGAGAATCACTCTGGGAATGTGTTCAACAAAAGGAAATGGTAAGTTGTCAAGCAGAATACACCTATGAAGGAACAGAGAGCACAGCTTCAGGATCTGTTCTTCTACGAGCACACTGCACTTCAAAGATGGCTAAGGCCGTGGTATTCCAGAGTTTCCGGCTGCGGTCGATTCGGCTGCATTATATACTACAGATGAAGCCTCATTACACTCTCTAGGGTATAACACCAGATTGGGGCTGCACCTGGGGGATCCCCACAGAGGGACTCAGTGCTCCCCCAGACACTGACTGAGCCCCCACCTCGTACTAGGCATTTTCATATGCTTTGCCTCAAGTCTTAACTCTACCATGCAATCTTGGCCATCTGCTTACGCAGCAGTTCTCCAAGTTCTCCCTGGACCAGCAGCATCACCATCAGCATGTTGGAAATGTAAATTTCCAGGCTCCATCCCAGATTTGAATCACAAACTCTGGAGGTAGGGTCCAGCAAGTTGTGTTTTAAGAAGTCCCCCAAGTGATGACTCTGATGCATGTTGAAGTTTGAGAACCACTGTGCTAAAAAAATGGTTCTTGGTCTTTTTAGAGTAGCAGACCTGAGACTCTAATGGAAGTGCTGACCCCCTCCCCTAAAAACGACACACAAACTGAATACAGCTTTAGCTGGCTGACAAACCCCAGGTTCAAAGGCCCTGTGCCACAGCCTGTTTGCCCCAAAATGGACAACTTCAAAGGAACCAAAGCGCGGGGCAGGTAGCCAAACACACTGTGCTTCTTCAGGGGCTCTTGCATCAGCAGCTCCAAGGAAAGGCCAACACACGGGCTCAGCTGACCTTTCTGCACCGAGGGAGGGAGGGAAGAGGGCACAAGCTCACAGGGGCCCATCACAAGAGGAAGCTGGGCAAGTTGCTCTACAGCCTCAGGTCCTGCCTCCTAACCCCCACCCAGGGTGCAACAACTGGAAGATGGGGAGGGCGGGGCTAGGGGTGAAAGGGGCCAGTTAGGGCAGAAGGGAGAGCTGTGTGAGGAGAGAATGAGGATCATGAGGAAGCTCCAGGTTTCTAAATGGAACATTCACCTGCAGAGGAGCCACTTCCATATCCACCATTCATTCATTCAGCAAACATTTACTGAGCGTCTGCTACTTGCCAGGCACTGTTCTCCATGTTGGGGCACCATAGCAACCAGCCGAAAGCACTGCCTTCCTGGAGATTATTCAACAATTGTCTGAGCAGTGCTGACCAAGGCCTTAACGCTGTCCTAGGCAGTGAGGATGCAAGATGAATATAAAACTCACTGCCCGCAAGGAACTTAGGCTGGCAGTACCGTGAGGTTCTACAAGGACAAGCATAGGGTGAGAATACACAAGAGGGCCACTTCGCCCAGCGCTCCTCAATGTCACCACTACTGCCAGCTGGGACTGGATAATTCCTGGTTGTGGGGGGCTGCCCTGTGCATTGCAGGATGTTGAGCATCCCTGGTCTCTACCCACTAGATGCCAGTAGCATCCTCCACCCCCTGCGGACAACCCAACATGCCTCCAAAGATTGCCAAACATCCCCTGGGGGATAAAATAGCCTCCAGTTGAGAACCAATGACAACTCAATCTAAGAAGTTCAGGAAAGGTTTCTAGAGCACCTGCTATTAAAGTGTAGAAATTAGCGCAGAAATTAACAAGGCTAAGAAGGGGTTTAAATATGTTCGGATTTATATCTATTGTCCAGGTATGGTTACTCACAGCATGCCCTATGACTTTAAAAAGTGCCCAGTTTGGAACATCTAGCTCAACTGGCATGACACATCTTATAAAGACAATGCTCTACATTCTACCTTGGTGAGTAGTGTCTGGGGTCTTAAAAGCCTGTGAGTGGCCATCTAAGATACTCCACTGGTCTCACCCC